CACGCACGCACGCACGCACGCACGCACGCACACACGTATTCGCCTAGGCCGCCGTGGGCATGTAGTGGGTCGCGTGGGAAGTTTCCAATAAAGCCCGCTCGCGCGACGTGTTCACTTGCTATCTGTGTTGTGCTAAAGTGCACCTACTCAGAAAAACGAGACAAGAGTGATTTCTTTCGCGGCTGAAGCAAGAACCTTCATCTAAGCAAAGGTCAACGGAAACAATTCAGCGACCCTCATAGTGTTATCTATAGTTGCGGTTTCTTTTACATCTGATATTGTAATATTCGAAGTCTTAGATTAAATAATAAAGCTGACGCGAAGTGCGCAAAGCGAAATGAGTTTGAACATGGAATGTCAAATTTGGTATGAGTTGCTGTAAAGACTATATAATATTTCCAAGTAAATTGCCCGTGAAGTAAGTGAACGAGAAATGATTCTAAAAGCTACAATGGTTTTGAAATCTAAATAAAAATATATCGCTATGCTTGACGCTTATCCTGAAATGCGGTTCTCCTCGTTATATTTTTAGCCGTTGCATCACTTCTAAGATGTCCTTCGCTTGTGGGATAACGTTTACTGTAAATACATCGATGTCTAGACATCGGTGGCAATATAACACGACGTTTCTCATTACGATTGGCTTCGTTTTAGAAAAACTGAAGACGTATCGCGGGAGCAGCTCTGCTTTCTAATAAGCTGCAATCAAACAGTGAGCGTTGATTGGAGTTGTCCTTCGAAGAAATCATTTCCGTCGCAATTTGACAATTTTAATTTCCTACGCGAGTATCCCAATTCCCGATAGAGTTTCTTTCGCTTTAATGTATGTGTGTGTGGGCGGAGGGGGCTCGTGACTTGTCTAAGCTTTCAGTGCTTTTAGTGCATTGATCTTCCCCTTGTTGTTTTACATTGTATTGCATTACGCCGAATTACGTTTCATTACATCAGGGATTAATAATGATTATTAACCCCTCATTACATTACAATAATGACATGGCGCAATAATAACAATTGGTCATTATTAATCCCTGATTACATTACATCAAATTTACGCAACGCGCTTTTATTAACGTCAATTTAAGAATCATATAACGATGCTTGCGTTGATATTAGGCAGTCTTGACATGTTTAAACATTAAAAAAGAAATGTTCGAATGTCATAAGATATATTTTTAGGTCGAATATATCAATATTCACACCGCAGTCTAGTTTTCGGAGGCGTTCACGATCTTCCAGCGCCATTACTGCTTAGTGTCAAGTTAATGGTAGCTGGCGAATTACCAATGCTGGCACATGGCCATGCAGTGACAAGCGCAAGTTGGGGCGAGCCCCCCCCCCAATTCCACCAAGTTTGTGCTGAAAAGTTAACAGTTTTACATCGTAAAATCGAAGCAAAGCTAGCGTGCAGACGAACTGTGAAGTTTGTGACGTGTAGAGAATATAGGTTTCGATGCGCGACGTGACAGTTTGTTTAGCGATATAGCGCGCCTGACAGCAGACGAGCGCGTCGCAAGAAGCATCAGCTGCCCGAGAGTATCAATCATTGTGTATATATGCGCCTTACTTTACAGCCTTTCTGTCTTTTCGAGCATAGTATTACGACCCAAGAAGCATTTCCAGTTAGCGTCGAAGTTTGACCAGCGGACAACAAAGACAGGTGCCGAGACTGGCACCCACCGGAACATGCAAAGCGAGCCGGGAATTGCCATCGCGGCAGAGAAAAAGCGCCTCTACTCGGGCTTCGTTCCCCCACAGCCGTTCTCGTTTGCACGCAGTTACTGGCATTTACATCCCGCCTAGTGCAAAAGAACACGATGTTGAAATAAGTGGCGATAGAACGCTGAGAGAAAATATAAGCCTATCATTATACATTTGATTCTACCGTTTAATCGCACCAAAGAGGATTACAGTGACAATATATAATATATATTACATTATAATATATATTACAATAATAAGACAATGGAAATTATCAATTCATGGGACTTTCGTAGTCGCATTTATGATTCGTTCTAGCTACTTGTTCTGATTTGACTAAATGCTTAACATCACACTCTTAGGAAACTCGTCTTCAGAACAACAAAAAACGTGCATGTAAAGCTGCGTAATGCCTAATTCGGTTCAAAAGCAACGTAAACTATTTAATCGTTCGCGCATTACAACGAGGTTATTGCGCACAAGCGTGGCCATTAACTCAATAAACATGAAGATTGATGTATGCGTGGACACGAGAAGAAGCCTCCGAAAGATCGCAAGAGTAAAATCCACGTCAGATACGAGTACGCATTGGTATTTTCTGTACATCCATACCCATACACATGCATATGCCCACACCCGCAACCACACCCATACCCATAAACAACTATGCCCATGCCCACAAATAGATAAATGTTAAATAAAATGTGAATAATAAATTAATGAACTTAATAAATGTTAATAATCCTAAAATAAACGCGATTAAGTGATACGGCAAAGCGATCCCTCAGTAGGCCTACAAACCTATATTGCATGTAGTATAATTGTTAAAATATTTTTAAAAAAAGGTCTTACCTTGTCATTGCTGTTAGATAACGAAATTCTGCACATCCCCTAAGAATTCGCACAGGCTACCAACATAACTTGGTTATTACAAGATAAAGGTAAGAGAAATAACAATTAAATTCCTATATTAAAAATATTTATCTTGTGAATAAGGAAGATAAAAACACTTAGAACAAGAAGACACTTAGAACACGTAGAACACAAGAAAAAGGTAAGCAAAATAAGAAAATATTCTAATGTTAGAAAAATGTATCTTGAGAGTGAAAAGGGAAAATTAATAAAAAAATACTTAATAAATTTAAAAAAAAGATTTTGAAATGGCGTAGTCTTAAAAGCAGAAAAAACAAGATTACATTTTAGGTTTCAGATATTTTCTCTAAGCAAGTAAAAGCGTTTTAGCAGTGTAGAAAACGCACGCACAAGATATATTGTTTTATAGGCCTATGGCAGTTACGATACCGGTAGAAATGACTGCATTCATCCTAGGTTACCCAACACCTAGAATGCATCATTATACCTAACAGTTTCCCTTCAAAATGTGGAGAAATGTTATTAAACATGATATCATTCTACAGATCAGAAATTCTCATATACGCGTTGCTGAAGCCAGCGCACCTTAATTGCGCCTATTTTGAGAAAAAGTCGTTTTACTTGCAGTTTTATATCTACATGGCACAGTATTCTAGACATCCATTCATGTAATTTTAATGTATAAACGCAGTGCAATAGTCCTTGGCCTTTTACATTAAACTTTTTTCAAGTCTCCTATATACACGAGTTGATACATCCAAAAACATATAGCAATGCATTTAACGGCAGTATTCAGCCGGCGTGCGTGTGTAAATTTTAAATTTAGTTAGATATTAGATCAATAAAATTATAATAATATCATAACATACTGGACGAATTTGCACGAAATTTCGCTCGATACACGTAATACGTGGCAAGCAGACTCTAACGCCACGGAAGAATTTCGTTCCGGCTGATCTAAAGCGGATAAACGGAGAAATAAAACATCAGGCAAAACCGTCAAAATCATAGGGCATTGTGAAGCTAACGGTGCGGTGAACGTGTTCATAGTGTTATATGAGCATATAGAGGATGAAAGCAGCGGCGGATAACATTGCACGTGACTTGCGATAGTCTAGCTCTTGGACTCCTGTATAGTAGGAGCTGGCTGTTATTAAACCTCCGAAAATCCGATTCTGCTCGCGGCCCGTCACTACTCTCACGCATGCATGCATGAGCGAAGTTATCGACCAGCTAGGCCTTCTATGAATAACGCTGAAGAGATGGAGCGAGAGGGTTAGGGTATACTACTTGTAGTTGATATAGGAGAAAGTACCTGAATAAAGCTGGTATGAAGGTAGTAACCGATATATATATATAATATATTGATATATATCAATCAGAAGTCTTTTTAATACTTTCTATTTGTTCACTTAGTGTAGTGGAAACAAGCACAAAATAATAATATTATAGAAGGGGCTTATAATTATGCCGAACCACATGCATGTTTAAAAACTGGGGGGGGGGACATTTGATAGCGTGTCCCCACCCTTCAAAAAATAGGGGGGGGGGGACGTGTCCCCAGTGTCCCTGTGGCATTTGCGCCCATGACAGTATAGACTGAAGAACACTGCATAATATAGCTTGCTATGAGAGGAGGGTTGGAAGACTGAGGAAAGGTGACAGGGAAGAAAGCCGAGGGCGGTATTAAAGAATGAGACTGAGCGAGGGACAGAGGAGGAGGAAAAGGAAGGACAGGACGGGATGAATTGGTAGTTTTGCTCCCCACAGGCTAGGGCGCTCTCCCAATCATAAACACAGGTCTACTGATAACAATTTATTTTATATATCTATGCTGAGATATCCCCTAACCATTTTAAATGCATATCCATCACAAAATA